AAATTGAAAAAAGTGAAGGGGGTCTGAATACTTTCTGAATGCACTGTAGACAGTAGTTACTGTGAACCAAAGTTACAAACATATACTTTAATCCAACAACTCTATGTAGCTTCAGATTATATTGCCAAGTTTCATGGTTTATTGTTCTCTTTTTTTGTATCTTCATTTGGGATTTTATGTAAAAGCTTGATCTCTATTTTATTTCAATAACAGCATTGGAATGGATTCCTAGGAAAGCTAAGTTTTGTTCCAAAGATTGTCTTTGTTGTTATGAATAAAATGGCAATACCTAAGCCTAGCTTTCAGACTGGGGACAATTGCTTTCTTTGTGTTGTCTGCAATTTTTGTTGTCTTTACTTCTATCAAGTATAAATGAATCACTTCCCTTCTCTTTCATGGGCCCAACCAGGTGGATCTAAGGCGGGCAGTGGAAGAGGTAGTGAAGGAAACTCCAGAATACCGTTGCATGCAGTCCCAATTTTCTGTGTTATATAATGAAAGCCTCCAGTTAAAATCACAGCTGGATGAAGCCCGCACTCTGCTGCATGGTACCCGAAGTACTCATCAACGCCAGGTGGAACTCATTGAGGTAATGGCTTTCTCCCTTTGGGTCTCTTACTTTGACCTGAAAAGATAAGAATGTGAGTGTTATATTTTTCTCAACTTCGCTTATTCCAGATGTTTTGGACAGTAACTCCCATTAGTCCTGGCTATCCTTGATCAGGAATAATGAAAGTTGTACCCCAGAACATCTAGGGACCCAGTTTATGGGGAAGCTGGTTTAAAAGCAATTTCAGAAAGCTAAGCATAGTCAGACCTGGATGGTGCTTGGATGAGGGAGCACCAGGAAATGCCAGGGCTGTAGGCTAGACTATGAAGCTGAAAAAACATCCCTGAAGAAAGCGATGATGAACTACTTGTGCCAAGAAAATGGGCATGTCTATGGAATCACCAGAAGTAGAGGGAGATTTTATTTTATTGTCTTCTGTGTTTTGGAGTGTTCTTCTAAGAGCAAAAGACACATTTTTCCCATGTGGAAAGCTTGCAACCGATGTAAGAGAAGTGAGTGTGATTGATGATGTAGTCCCTGAAATGGGCCCAGGTTAACTGAGATTTCCTATGTTGAGTATGAGTGTGATTATCACACATATGAGTATGAAATGTTTTCAACCTCAATTAGCTCAATTGCTAATCAAGCAGTTAGCTAAAGATAAAAGCTGTTGAAGCCTGAGGATAGATCAGCAGGCATTCTGTCTTTGGCAGCAGCCAGTTCAAATTGATTGTGAATTTTTCAGTTCTAGCACGGAGAACTAAAATGATTCATAAACTTTAAGGGGATGAATCTTAACTCTGCAATGCAGCATATTATTTGATCAGAAGATTCCAGTGTCAGTCCCTGGGATCTCCAGTGAACAGTCTTGATCAGTCAGAATATATATCAACTTGGGACTTCCAGGAAAGAAATGGTGAACTGAAGACAACTGCGGTGGAGTGAAGAGCTGGCGAGTAGGCTGGCTCTTTGTAATTCCTCTCCGAACAAGGAGAGGACTTGAGATCGCCCACAAGTGCTCCAGACAGTTGCTCCTCAGGAGACTGCAAGACAGCGGTCTCCAACAGGTTTACAGCTCTGGGAGATGAGGGAATAGCCATCTTGCTCAAACCACAGTTGGTGCCTTTAAAAGGACACTGGGTTCACATCCTTCCTTTTCTAATCACTTTCGGAAATCACTTGTTAACTGCTTTTCAGCTATTAAGAACCTTTGGATCAACAAGTCTGAAAACACCAGGTGAGTTTCCTTCAATCCTTAGTGAAAGAAATTTTTAATACAAGTTTAAGGACCTATTTTTTTTTTAAATGAAAAGCCAAAAAGGGATTAGAACTTTGAATTTTGAAAGTTACAAATTTTCTAAAGGTTCAGATGGGATTGGAATAAGGTTT